GCCGGGAGCAGCCGGGCGCCAGCCGGGAGCGTGCAGGCACCGGCACCAGCCTGGAGCGTGCAGGCACTGGCACCAGCCTGGAGCGTGCAGGCACCGGCGCCGGCCTGGAGTGCGCTGGCACCAGCCCGGAGCGCGGGCTGGCGTTGGGACCAGAGGCTCATGACAGCGTCACTCAGGATTCCTTCCCCTTCGAGCAGAGCAGCTGAGGAGCAGGCAGGGGCGCTGGGCAGAGCCGCCGTGCACCCGCTGCCTCTCCGGCCACCGGTTCCTGAACACGGCAGCAAGCGGAGGGGAGCCGCGTGGCACGTGAGGCCGCCTCTCCGGAACAGAGGCCGGGGAGCCGTGTGGGAGCTCTCCGCAGGGCCGGAGAGCCGGGAGCAGCTCCGTGGCTGGGACTGCCTCTGTACCCAGAGCTTTTATTCAATAAAGATATCAGGCAGCTACAGCACAGCGGCTGGTTGCCCTGGGGCTGCGGGGAGGCTGCGTCCCCCCCATTTCTTACCCACGTGGGGGGGCGGTTTAACAAGGGCTATTCCCAGGGGTGTCTCCTTGTGCCAGCTGGGGCGGAGAAAGTGGAGAGGGGAAGGGGCTCTGGATTGCTGAGCCACGTGGGTTGACCCATGCCAAAGGGACCGCATGAGACCACCTGGCCAGGGCAGCTCCCTGTCCCCTGTGGCTCTCTGGCCACCTGGATCAGGGCCAGCAAAGCCCCTGTCCTCCCCTGAAATCACCTTTTTTATAAGGAAGGCAACATCTCCAGGGGCAGGAGCCAGGGCTCAGCTCACCTGTCCCCAACACAAGTCCCAGGTGGCTTCTCAGGCCCCGTGGGCTCAGGGACCAGCCAAGCAGCTCTCTTTGAAAGAACTGTTTATTGATACTGAAATTTCCGCATTTCTCCTGGTTGACAAAAACCTTCTTGTGTGTGGTCCTTTAAAAAAAATCATGACACCATCGCCCCATGTCCCAGCCTGGGAAGGGCCCAGGGGAGCAGGAGCCACCTGGGAAACTTTGCCAGGGAGCATCCCCTCCATCCAAAAGAAAAAAAAAAAAAAAAAACAAATTAAAGTCCAGCAACACAGAGGAAGGAAAACAGAAGGGGGAGCCCATATTCTTCTACCTGCAGGAAATAAAACCTGGTGCCAGAGGAGGCGGCGAGTGCCCCACTGTAAAAACTAATTCCAGCTTCTAGTCTAATCTGACAAACGGATTAGTGGAGCAGCAGCTGAGGGCACCGGCTCCTCCTGAAGGGTTTGGCTTCCAGGGATACCAACCACTGCAACGGAGGAGGAAGGAGGAGAGAAAACCAACACCACAAAGCGAAGCCCCTCCAGGAAAAGTCCAGCTCCCGATTCCCGCTCCGTGTGCTAACTGCAAAGCCAAGAGCAGATGGTCCCGGCCAGGAACAGCAGCAGGAGGCGCTGGGTGAACCCCTTCCTTCCGAATACGCTTCTCCTTCTGCGGACTCTGAGCGGGGCCAAAGCGCAGGGGAGGGTCGATGCACGAGAAGGATTTGGGGAAGAAACCCGCAAACCCTCTTGTTCCTTGCGTAAGGGACAAAAGTCGACCTCGGAAAGGAGAAAAAGAAGTTTGGGCTACTCTGGACAAGACTGTTACAAAAAAATAAGCAGCACGGAAGCGCTCTCGCCCATTCCGCTCCTGCGGGCGCTGTGATGTTGCTTTGCGGCCAAGCGCAGAGGCCTCGGAACAGGGAGCCCATCTGTGGAGCACGGGCCTCATCAGCCCAGCGTGTCCCTCCCGAAAGCAAAAAACCCCGCAGCCAGCAGGGACCCCCGGGCCATGGCTGCCTTGAGCAGCCTCCGCAGGGAGGCAGCGAGG